CATCCCTGTCTCTGCTGGAAATACCTCGCCGGAAGCATGCTAGGGCTGCATTAGCCTTTTTCATCACTGCATCACATTGGCGGCTGATAGTCATCCTGAGATCAACCAATGTACTCAGTCTTTCTCCTCCTGTCACTTCCAACTGCTAATTCCCCAAATTATAGCAAAAGGTCTTGTTAGTCCGTAAGTGCATGATCTTTCACTTTGCACTATTAAATTTCATTCCATTTCTATTACTCCAGTTTACAAGGTCATCCAAATCTTCTTGTATGATATTCTGGCCCTCCTTTGTATTGGCAATACCTCCCAACTTTTTGTCATCCACAAATTTTAGTAGCACATACCCACTTTGTGCCAAGATCATTAATAAAAATGTTAAATAAGTCTGGTCCCAAGACCGATTCCTGCATAACTCCACTACTAACCTCCCTCCAGCCCGACAGTCCACCTTTCTGTATGATCCGTTTTAGTCTCCCACTTAACCAGTTCCTTATCCACGTTTCAATTCTCATATATCCCCATCTTCTCCAACATAATAATATAATAACATTTAACATTCCTGTGGTGGGAAAAACACCTCAACAGCCCAACACTGGCATTTAGTTTCAGAAAGGGGAACTATGCCAAAATGAGGAGGTTAGTGAAACAGAAATTAAAAGGTACAGTGACTAGAGTGAAATCCCTGCAAGCTGCATGCACACTTTTCAAAGACACCATAATAGAGGCTCAACTTAAATGTGTACCCAAATTAAAAAACACAGTAAAAGAACTAAAAAAGAGCCACCGTGGCTTAACAACCATGTAAAAGAAGCAGTGAGAGATAAAAAGGCATCTTTTAAAAAGTGGAAGTCAAATCCTAGTGAGGTAAATAGAAAGGAGCATAAACACTGCCAAATTAAATGTAAAAATGTAATAAGAAAAGCCAAAAAGGAGTTTGAAGAACAGCTAGCCAAAAACTCAAAAGGTAATAACAAAATGTTTTTTAAGTACATCAGAAGTAGGAATCCTGCTAAACAACCAGTTGGGCCCCCCTGGACGATCGAGGTACAAAAGGAGCACTTAAAGACGATAAAGTCATCACAGAGAAACTAAATTAATTCTTTGCTTCAGTCTTCATGGCTGAGGATGTCGGGGAGATTTCCAAACCTGAGCCGTCTTTTGTAGGTGACAAATCTGAGGAATTGTCACAGATTGAAGTGTCACTAGAGGAGGTTTTGGAATTAATTGAGAAACTTAACAGTAACAAGTCACCGGGACCAGATGGCTTTCACCCAAGAGTTCTGATAGAACTCAAATGTGAAATTGTGGAACTATTAACTATGGTTTGTAACTTGTCTTTTAAATCAGCTACTGTACCCAATGACCAGAAGATAGCTAATACAATGCCAATATTTAAGAAGGGCTCTAGAGGTGATCCTGGCAGTTACAGACGGGAAGTCTAACGTCAGTACCGGGCAAATTAGTTGAAACAATAGTAAAGAATAAAATTGTCAGACACATAGAAGAACATAAATTGTTGCGCAAAAGGCAACATGGTTTCTGTAAAGGGAAATCGTGTTTTACTAATCTATTAGAGGTTTCAGAGTAGCAGCCGTGTTAGTGTGTATCCGCAAAAAGAAAAGGAGGACTTGTGGCACCTTAGAGATTAACAAATTTATTTGAGCACAAGCTTTCATGAGCTACAGCTCACTTGGGGGGGGGGTCAACAAACGTGGACAAGGGGGATCCAGTGAACATAGTGTACTTAGATTTCCAGAAAGCCTTTGACAAGCTTCCTCACCAAAGGCTCTTACATAAATTAAGTTGCCTTGGGATAAGAGGGAAGATCCTTTCATGGATTGAGAACTAGTTAAGACAGGGAATAAAGAGTAGGAATAAATGGTAAATTTTCAGAATGGAGAGGGGTAACTAGTGGTGTTCCCCAAGAGTCAGTCCTAGGACCAGTCCTAGTAAAATTATTCATAAATGATCTGGAGAAAGGGGTAAACAGTGAGGTGGCAAAGTTTGCAGATGATACTAAACTGCTCAAGATAGTTAAGACCAAAGCAGACTGTGAAGAACTTCAAAAAGATCTCACAAAACTAAGTGATTGGGCAACAAAATGGTAAATGAAATTTAATGTGGATAAATGTAAGGTAATGCACATTGGGAAAATACCCATTGTATTGGGAAAAAATAACCCCAACTATACATACAATATGATGGGGGGCTAATTTAGCTACAGCTAATCGGGAGAAAGATCTTGTAGTCATCATTGATAGTTCTTTGAAGACATCCATGCAGTGTGCAGCGGCAGTCAAAAAAGCAAATGGGATGTTAGGAATCATTAAAAAAGGGATAGAGAATAAGACGGAGAATATCTTATTGCCCTTATATAAATCCATGGTATGCCCACATCTTGAATACCGCATACAGATGTGGTCCCTGCATCTCAAAAAAGATATACTGGCATTAGAAAAGGGCAACTAAAATGATTAGGGGTTTAGAACAGGTCCCATATGAGGAGAGATTAAAGAGGCTAGGACTTTTCAGCTTGGAAAAGAGGAGACTGAGGGGAGATATGATAGAGGTATATAAAATCATGAGTGGTGTGGAGAAAGTGAATAAGGAAAAGTTATTTACTTGTTCCCATAATATAAGAACTAGGGGCCACCAAATGAAATTAATGGGTAGCAGGTTTAAAACAAATAAAAGGAAGTTCTTCTTCAGTCAGCGCACAGTCAACCTGTGGAACTCCTTGCCTAAGGAGGTTGTGAAGGCTAGGACTATAACAGGGTTTAAAAGAGAACTGGATAAATTCATGGAGGTTAAGTCCATTAATGGCTATTAGCCAGGATGGGTAAGGAATGGTGTCCCTAGCCTGTGTTTGTCAGAGGGTGGAGATGGATGGCAGGAGAGAGATCACTAGATCATTTCCTGTTAGGTTCACTCTCTCTGGGGCACCTGGTATTAGCCACTGTCGGTAGACCGGATACTGGGCTTGATGGCGCTTTGATCTGACCCAGTATGGCCATTCTTCTGTTCTAATTTCCCATGTGGAACTGTATCGAATACCTTACTGAAATCCAGGTAGATTAGCTCTATTGCATTTTCTTTGTCTAAAAGAACCAGTTATCTTCTCAAAGAAAGAGATCAGATTGGTCTGGCACGATCTACTTTTTGTAACACCATGTTGTATTTTTCCCCAATTACCATTACCCTGACCACTTTCTCTTTCAGAATTTGTTCCGCTCTCTCTGCGGGGAGTAGTTCAATCACAGAGGTCCTGCTCTTTTGTCTCTCCCCTGAATGATTGTAGACTTCCCTAATATCTCCCAGCAGAGCTGGTTGTTAGTCGCATGGTTTCCCTTCATGTGACCCAGCTGCGCATTCTTTTCACCCCAAGAGGTGAGCTAAATCTGGCACTGGTGTGTCGGAGCCCCAGCCCTCTTGAATGGTTGGGTTACCTTATATCACGCTCTTCAAAAATTAGCTGTCCCTGGTTAGTAAAAATGCTCAGCCTGTGTCTTAACAAATCATTACATTAGTGGGGTTCAGCTGCTCATTACTCATGAAAATGTATTAAAATTCAGGGATTGGCACAAAACAGAAAGGGGCTAGACGCACAGAGGTGTTCAGCCGCACAAAAAGATATTTATTGTTGGACCAACTGACAAGAGGTTAATTTCTTGATCTCTTTATCTTTTTGACCAGAGGTTGGGTGGAAAACAGATGCTATACGCAGAAGAATTAGGCCTTCTTTCCATTCACTGTCAAAGAGGTATCAGCAGTTTAAGAAAAGTCAAGCCCATAGTATTAAAAAGTACCCTATGTTGCTGTGAGGAGTCACTGCAGTCAGGTGGTAATGCCTTCAGTTGGGAACAGTCAGGTTATGAAAACAATTGCTAGTATTGCAGAATGCAAGTTTCATTTTAAAATCAGGTCTTTGGTATATATTCCAGGAACAAACAAAATGTGAGTTTCACAAATTACAGTAACTAAGTGACAACACCATACTTATCCTATCACATCACCAACAAAAGCCAAGAACTTAAAAGCAAGGAAATGAGAAGTTATAGACAACAATGTAAAGACATAAAACACATTCTTATCAAGTACACAGAGTGCACTGCAAGCGTATGAGAGGAACCTCCACTTTGCCCTAGCCTGAGGGCATGTCTACACTTACCTCTGGAGCGATCGATCCATCAGGGTTTGATTTATTGCGTCTAGTGAAGATGCGATAAATCGACCGCCGCGTGCTCTCCCGTTGACTCCGGTACTCCACTGGAGCGAGAAGCGTAGGCAGAGTTGACGGGGGAGCGTCAGCAGTCGACCTACCACAGTGAAGACTCAGTGGTAAGTAGCTCTAAGTACGTCGACTTCAGCTACGCTATTTTCATAGCTGAAATTGCGTAACTTAGACCAACTTAGCTCGCCCCCCCCACACCCCCTAGTGTAGACCAGGCCTGAGTAGGGGGACTCAGATTCTGACTGAGGTCTCTGGGGGCTGCAGTAATATAGAATAATAATTGAGTGGAGACTTGATTGCTGAGCATCCTGGAGGTATTTTACCAAGAAGGATTGACAAGCAATGTTAATCAGAGAGGAAGGCTGGTCTAGTGGTTAGGGCCATAGCTGGGACTTGGCTTCGAGTCCTAGCTTCATCCAGAATTTCTTCTGTGACTTTGGGACATCATGTAATCTGTGCTTCAGTTCCCAGTCTGTAAATTTGGGATAACAGCACTTCCCTACCTCACAGGGCTGTTGTGAGGGGAAAATACATTGCAGACTGGATCAAAACAGGTGTATAATAAGACAAAAATTAAAATCTTAGCACAAGTTATGTTTTAGGAGTTCTGTATCTGGAGCCCAAACAAGCAAATCCTAGTTAAAAGTAACTCTGCGGCATTTTAAAAGGCCTTCAGTTTTGCAATTTGAGCATCCTGAAGTAGTAAAATATTTTGGTCCAAATTAGTTCAGAGAAGTAACACTATCTCTTTTCCCCCCCCACCCTCTAGTCCAGATAAAGGAGAATTCATGAAAGATTGCGAAAGCTCATACTCCAGCTGGAAGTTCTCTGGTGGTTTTCGAACCTGGATCAAAATGTCCTTGGTAAAAACAAAAGAAGATGGGAGTGAGACTGTGGAGTTCAAACAGGAGGTAAATAGTGCTCTGTAAGGGTTTTCTGAATGTGGCAGACCTTAGCTGATTGTCATTCTGTAGTTGCTGCGAGAATCATTCAATACATACAGTGCTGCAATAGTAACCTTGTCTAATAGAGCTTCTCCTCAGAGCAAAAGGCAGCATGGCTTTGAAGAAGCTTGCTGTGATGCATAGTGGCAAATACGACTGACTTTCATGTTTTCATTGGTCCCTTATTCCAGCTCACCAGCAAGCAGTTTCAAAGTCGCTTTCCCACATTTCATAAAAACATAACACAGCAAAGAGTTTATATTGCCCTTATGGCTTTACTGATGTGGCCTGGAAAAACCTGACTGGACAGAGAAGCCAGAAAGCTGATTGTCCTTGTTTGTTACACTGGTGAGACTAGACCTAGAATATCAGAGTAAGGAGCTGGAGCAATTGACTTATTTGAAAATATTAACAAACTTTAGTTTAAAGCTGGGACTTTCAAAAGGATCCTAAGATTCAACGAGCACCTACAAATATTTTCAAGATTGAGAGGCATTGTCTAGGTTTGTCCTAGGGATGGAAGTCAGAGTAACAGGAAAGGAAAATTGAGGCTGAATTTTAAGAAACAGTTCTTAAAAAGATCATCAAATAAACTGTAGAATAGACAAAGGAAATTAAGGAAGCTTGGGTCATTTAGAAGTAGAATAGACAGTGCAGTTCAGAAAACTTGGAAGAGAACACCTGTTCAATGGTGGAAGATGACTACTGATGTAGTTATTTTCATCTCTGCCTATGGAATGGTTTTATCCTGAATTTCTCCCAGCAGAAAGACACTGAAGGGGCCGAGTTATAATAAAGAGATAAGATAATTAGATAGTTATAGATAGATAATTAGGTTGGTTTAACTATATCCCTCAGGGGTGTGAAAAACTCACACCCTGGAGCGGCATTGTTAAGCTGATCTAAGTCCCCTGGAGACAGTGCTAGGTCCATGGAGGATTGTTCTGCTGATGTAGTTACCACCTCTCAGGGAGGTGGATTATCTAAACCATGAGAGAACCCCTCCCATCTGTGTAGATAGTTCCAAGGCTGAAGTGCTACAGCAGCACTGGCTGTGCTGCTGGAGTGTTTTAAATGTAGGCAAGCCCTAACTTGTCTCACTCCCTGTGTTGTTTGGAAGGAGGCATCTGCAAAATCAATAGAACTGCAACTGCCTTGTAGGAAACTATTGATTTGGAGAAGGACAGCTGTGACTAGCAGGCGAAACGTTTCTTTGCTAAGAGCAGGAGAAGATTATCCATCTGTTTTTAGAAAAGCATGTGTGTGTTAACCTGTTGCACACTTGGAAAGAGAAATGTTCATTGTAACATGCTGTTTTGCTCTTTTAAGGGCGTCTTCCAGTTCTCACACTTAGCTCCCTTAGCAGAAGCAGCATGGGGGCAACTGCAAATCAGTGATGTCAGGAGGGGCTCCCCAGGAATACCCTACAGGAGAGGAATTCTGAAGTGATACAGTCAGAATATAGTAACAGTTTAAAAAAAAAATTGAGCAATATCCCCATAAATGGGATAAAACTCAGTTAACCAGAAAAGCCATGTTAGAAAGGAATGAACTATGTAGAAGCAAATCATGGGTTCATAAGGATAGATGGTGTGGGTGTTAATGACTAAACTGAGCTTCCGAGAGAGAGATCCTTACACTGGAGGATGAGTGAAGTTTATTTTTCTTAAGAATCTGGCTATGAGGTAATGAGAAACAAGACTCTTCCTCTCCTTATTGAGATGTAAAACACTAGATGGGTGCAAATTAGACCTTGCTACAATTTATACTGAGATTCTAGAGAAATAGTGTGATCTATTCATCCAGTAATGGTATTTGCCCTTGCTTTGAGGGTCCTTCTGGCTGTTTGTTCTCTTACTAACAATAGTATCTGAACGCAGGGGTGGTTTGATTTAAATCAAGGAGATCTGCCATGAAGCTTTTTGCCTGGTAAACCTCCAGAATCTGGTCTTGCAGCATCTTGAATTTCTGCAAGAGAACAAGAAAGCCTTTTGGAGGTGGAGTCAACTTGTGACCTTTCGTGACCATGCTCTGAGCTGGGATCAAGGAATTCTTTTTTCCATTTTGAACCCATGTTCCTCAGAGGGATAGAAAACTCTTGAGGTGGTTTCCACTGACTCCTGGAATGAGCTTTTTATTAAACTGTCGTCTAAATAAGGAGATTTATGCCCACTATTTTGAGGGCTGCTATTACAATTATATATTCTTCTGTACAGCTGCTTATACTGCCCTCATTACTGTAGTATGAGTGTCTAATAATGCATTGAGATGTGACTACTTCTGTCCCGTGTGCCTTGTACTGCCCATGCAGTGGAGAATGCAGCAATTCAGTTTGGTAATGTTATTTTTATATACATGCTGCTATGGTGTCAAAGAAGGCAAGGAGTGCTTGGAAGGTGAGGTTTGTGATGGAGGAGTTAATTCCAGTTTCAGACTGGCCTCTGAGAAAGTTCTGTCTCTTGCACAGGTAAGATTGACCTTGGTGTTCAAAAATGTCATTGTGCCTGAGCACCAGAGTTGCTGACCACAATTGGCATGGTGGAGCTTTAAGGCAAAGTTTTAGATATCCTTGGGCCAGGCCACGGGCTGAGACCTTGATTCAGTATTATATGGGAAGGTAGCATAAGGAACGAAGGACAGGTCTGATGTGCTCATGCTAGTCATGTTGTGAGATGGGCTGCTTTCTGTTCTAGTTGGAGTTTCTTAAGGGCTGATGTCTTCACGCCCAGGTATATCGCATTGCTGTAGTCTAGATAAGAGGTAGTCCATGAAGGAGTGTATAACTAAGGCTAGGTCAGCTGCCAGAATGGGGTGGAGTCTCTTAACCAACTGCAGAGGATATAAAACATTACTTGTGGATGCTGCTCTGAGAGACTTTAGTTTGAGTGCTCTTTACTGATGCTACAGCCTAAACTGACTAATTGTGGGCATGTACCTTCAATCAAAGGAAGCTGCAAACTCCTCCAAGAACTTTCCTCTGCCCAGTAGCTCAGCTTCTGTCTTGCTCAGGTTCAACCAGATGTTCTCAATCCATCAATGAATCTGATCCAAGCATGGGGTGGCAGCAGTATAGTCAGATATGGTGAGGGATATAGAGAGATGTCTCATCTGCATAGTGTTAGCACTTACGAGTTTTATTTTTTGAAGTCCTTCTTTGAGACACTTGAGCCTATGAAATGCACCAATTAGCAATGAAATCTCCAACAGAAAAACCTGTGTGTCTGTGAGAGTAAGAATCCCTCTGTCCAAAGATGTCATATAGTCTCTGACCACCTGTGTTAGCGGAACTCTAGCCCCTGTACAAATTGTAATTTGTACTTATTTTGTGAGCTGAGCTTAGCATATGGAAAAACAAACTTGAGAGCTAACAGAGTTAAATATCAGAGTTGTACATTGTGTCTGAAGTAACAAATAGAAAGCACTTGTCCCATCTCCAAGCCTCCAGTTTAGGCTAAAGTCTTGACATGTGCATAAAATACTAATGCATGACAGACAAGTTTGTACATAATATACATTATTAGGGTTAATTTTTTTGCGGTCAGTACAGTAGCTTGTATTAGAAATTTGAAAAATATACTAGAGCCAAATTCAAAGAATTTTCCATTATTAAAATTCAAAGTTACTAGCAGCCAAGGTATTTAATAAAATAGCTTATGTATTTTAATTTTTTCTTCAGAAATACATCAAGGCTGTGACAAATAAGCATAGTCTGTGCCTTACTAAAAACTACCGAGTGTATAGTCTGGGTTTACAGGTTATAAAAAATAGATGTTTAAACTGTATGGGGGTTGACCACACATTTTTGCTACAGGCTAACGAGAACTACTCATTCCAGTCCACTACAATCTCCTGTCCAATTACAGAAATGTACTTCCAACTCCACTACTGTCAGTCAAGAAATTTGTACGACAGGAAAGAAGTAGTACAGTAGAAATCTAAGTCAAGGAAAAGGAAAAAGAGACAACCTAAAGAAGATGAGACTAGTTCCTCACTTTCAGCAGGCCAGAGCAGCTATTCTGTTGTTCAGTATTGCATATTCTACATGTTATGTCAACAGAAGCTTGCAGGTTGTAACAGACCGGTTGCCATGTTCCCATCGGTCACTATTTGGTTGAGGCAAAGTAGGTCACCTTGTCCACATTGGGAAGTGACAAAATTCTAATAGAGCTTTTTTTGGCCTGGCATTGGGCACTTGAATAAGCATGGTTCTTCCCCCTACAATGGTGTAGTCAATTCTACCTCAATATTCATTCCTAGTAACTTTACATCCCACTTTTTCAAACTACCAATATAGATCTATTCCTTCAGGTAGACCAAAATTGCACACAGTTTGGGGGAATAAGGACATGCAGATAAGTGAGGTTTGCCTTTAGGTTTGAAAATGACTACTGGTAAAGTATGGTTGCATTTAATGATAGTGTTTCTTGACCCTTTTGGAACAAACTTAGCCTTTCTTATTGTGGTACTTGGACACTCAAAGATTAAGTAGCCACTTTTTTTAAAGTAGAAAAGAGGAGGTATATTAGGTTAAGCTTGAAACAGGGATTGTATGAGTAGAAAGGTAAGGTTCCTACAGCTAACAGTTAAACCAGACCAATATCCGGTTCAAGTCATTTAAAAGCCCCATTTTAAAATCAACTCTTCCCTCACTCCTCATTTAGTGTAATAGCAGGTTGGACTTTTGATGGAAGAGAAAGTTAACTGCCTTTTTTTCCCCCCCCCAGACTAGTGTGGTTAACTACATTGACCAGAGGCATAAGCCGGCAAGTGACCAGTTGTTTTTTGTGGTATTTGAATGGAAAGATCCTTTTATACAGAAAGTTCAAGATGTAAGTAAATTCTAGTCACTCCTCAGCCTCTTGCATGACTTAATTTAAAACTAAGTTGGAGGAAGGCTGATGTCACTTCGAGAATTTCAACCCAATCATTCCAGAGTTCTCAAACTAATCTAAATGTTGCTGAGGTCAAGACCATCTTCTGCCTCTCTTTGACCTTGTAATTTGCATAATAATTACAGTACTTCCTACTATGGCTGTGCACCTGCACACAGCTTAAGACAAAACTTGCTTCCCATATGCTCTAGATAATTTTAACTAAGTCTGAAGTTTTGTTTGAGAATAGATCTCTCCTGAGATCCGTGTTTTCTTCCTGGCTAAAGGATAAAACACCAAATCAGGAAAATGCTTTTAGGAGACTAGGAGCTAATATTGTATAAAATGTATAAGGCAAAACACAATTACAATTTGAAATGGAATTTAACAGCTGTAATGTAAGTTGAGTACAAATGGATATAAACTGGTCATTGGGAAGTTTAGATGTGAAATTAAACAAAGGTTTCTAACCATCAGACGGAGTGAACTTTTTTGGAATAGCCTTCCAAGGGAAGCAGTGGCAGCAAAAGACCTGTCTGGCTTTAAGATTATGGAGGAGATGGTAGGATGGGATAACATGATTTTGGTAATTAATTGATCTTTAAATATTCATGGTAAATAGGCCCAATTGCCTGTGATGGGATGTTAGATGGGGTGGGATCTGAGTTACTACAGAAAACTCTTTCCTGGGTATCTGGCTGGTGAATCTTTCCCAGATGCTCAGGGTTTAGCTGATCACCATATTTGGGGTCAGGAAGGAATTTTCCTCCAGGGCAGATTGGAAGAGGCCCTGGAAGTTTTTCACCTTCCTCTGTAGCATAGGGAACAGGTCACTTGCTGGAGAATTCTCTGCTCCTTGAAGTCTTTAAACCACGATTTGAGGATTTCAATAGCTCAGACATAGGTGAGGGGTTTTTCGCAGGAGTGGGTGGGTGAGATTCTGTGGCCTGTGTTGTGCAGGAGGTCGGACTAGATGATCATAATGGTCCCTTCTGACCTTAGTATTTATGAATCTATAAGAGAAACTATGACTTTGTCTCAACTCTTTTGCAGATTGTCACTGCCAATCCTTGGAACATGATTGCTCTACTGTGTGGTATTTTCTTGGCTCTGTTTAAAGCAGCAGACTTTGCCAAATTAAGTGTTAAGTGGATGATCAAAATCCGCAAGAGACACCTGAAAAGGAGAAGTCAAGCAATGAACCACATAAGCTGAGGACTAAACCACCTTTAAAACATTTTTAGTACACTGGATAAAATTTCAACCAACAATGCAGCAGTTACATAAACTAAAAAGAGTTGTGCATTTACCTCTGCTGAAGTGACAGCATAAATGAACTTTAGTAGGCTTGTTCTACAGAGTTAGCCTCTTAAACGCATCTTTTTAAAAATGTAAGTTATGAACTTCTTTACCAAGCTTGTTTCAATGTATTGGGGGTGGAATGGAATTCATAAAGTAAGGTTCAAAAATGTCAGCATTTTAGAGCAGAATACAGACATTTAGTTTACATCTAGACCGTTTAAGCTTTTCTCCATGAGCTAAATGGACTTTTCTTAAAAAGGAAGCAGTTTTGGAGAAAAACCCCCTCATTACTTCTGTATTTAATAATAAGCCCTTTCTAATGCATGGGAGATGCACAGGTAAGTAGAGCTCCTCCTTGCTCTGATGCTGATTTCAAGACCTCCCTCCAAATTCCACTAACACATTGTATAGCTGTTAGCATTAATTTGTTGAAACATTGGGGATGCATGTCTTCTACCTTAGCCTAGTTTGCCAAATGAGCTATCTTTTGTTAACATTCTTATGGTTTTAACTACCTTGGTTGATTGTGGTTTCTGGAGTCTTGAAGTATCTCAACCAAGAATTTCTTCTATGAGGTCTCAAAAATGTAACATTTAGCTGCAAAACACTGAGTGGTACAAAAGGAACCAATGCTGGTATGAAATTGTCCCTGTTTAGGTAGTAGGAGCATAAAAAAAGGTTAAAAATCTTATACTTGAAACCAATTCCATTCCCCCCTTCAGATGACTAAAAGACTCTCCAATACATAATGAAAAGAAATTAGGCATGATATTTGTTCTAAATATAAACTTTCTATAAAAGAAAACATGTACTTAAGTTTCTTGAAGGTCAGTTTGTCTTCCAAAGACACATCTGAGCAACTACAGCATATTTCTGTCTCCTGTTTTTGCAAGTCTACCGTTACTTTTCTTTGAATCAATACAGAGCATTTGCTTTGTAAACGTGTTGTCCATTTTGATTTAAGATTTGCTGTGGTGTATACTGCTAAAGAGACTAAGGCCTTGTCTGGGCTGCAACAGTCTTGCTCAGGGGTGTGAAAAAACATACCCCTAAGCGCTGCAAGTTTCAGCACTATAAAGTGGCAGTGTGAACAGTGCACCAGAGCTGGTAGCTACTCCCCTCATGGAGGTGGGTTTTGTGGGTTTTTTTTGGTGAGGGTTTTTGTTTTTGTTTTTTTTACAGTGCTGGGAGAGCTGCTATGCTTTGCCTCAGTGTAGTCATGGTTCTCAAGGAAAACACTACTCACACATTTTTGAACTTCAAGTCCACCAAATCAGCAGTCATTCTAAGGGAGCCCAGACAGTGCACAAGCGCTTATCCAGGACCAGGCTGTTCAAGGAAAACATTCTTTGGTAGATCCTGCATCCCACTGAGTCCTTCCCCATGCAATTAGAGATCAGGGTCATGTCAGTCAGTTTTAGATCTCTTGAAGCTGCTGCACAGTCCCATTTCCTTTCTGAAATAGAACAATCCAAGACAAAGAAAGGAGTAAGTTTCTCTACAGAAAAGCAGCATACCTAATTCAAATATTGTACAGACTTGCCTACTGAAGCCTGTGTGCACCTTTTGCTTTTTTCTTCAAACTGGAACTTACAAGCAGCAAAAAAATCTCTTTAGAACTAATCAAGGAAAACAAGTAGTTACCTTCTCTAGATGTCAAGCAGTTCTCGCACCTAAGCAGATACACAAATGAGACCAATGCTTTTAGGAATATATCACCTACTGGTGAGGTAGTTCAACAGTTAAGAACAGGGCATTGAACATTCAATACTTGATCAACTGCAGGGCCTGGACACAAATGATCTGTAGAAATACACCATTGGTCAACAAGCTTTAATTCTACTCCGGATCTGGAGTTTAGCTAGCTTATGGCACATCTTCACTGGTAACGTTAAAGCACTGCAGCAGCACTGGGAGAGAGCTCTCCCAGCGCTGTAAAAAAACCACCTCCATGAGGGGCATAGCTCCCAGGGCTGGTGCACTGTCTACATTGGCACGCTGCAGTGCTCGGGCAGGGGGGTGGAGGTGTTGGGTGTTTTCACATCCCTGAGCAAGAAAGTTGCAGCGCAGTACAGTGCTAGTGTAGACAAGCCCTTATGGCTATTCATTCAGGCTGAATATTGCACACATTCCTGCATAACTCACTTAACATAAGCCTTCTGGTCATCATGGATAGACAAAAAGAAGGCAATATACAGCATTAAATACAAACATAAAGACTTTATTGTATGCTGCTCAATCCCCTAGTGAAGATTTTATTACAAAACAAGAGTTTTCACATAACTGCAATTTAAGAGATTGGAATGGTACGTCCGATAAAAGATGTGAGCAAGACTTGATTAAGTAAAACAAAACAAGACTTCTATAGTCAGCTTTCTCCATATTTAAGAAGCATACTGCATTTTCACTAAATAAAACAAGGCATTTGTGGTTAGTGCTCTGCACTTCCATAGAGAAACCTTGTTTGGAATGCCAGATTTCATCTCACTCCCCAGGCCAGCAGAAGCTGAAAGTGCTGCAGAAACAGCTCCATCAGCCCCTGAAGGAGAGAACTGCATTGTTCCACAGAGATTCCTTGGGCTGACATAAGAGCTTCATTGATGGGCTCTAAGGGAAGCTCCATCCTCAGCTATAGGATGAGAAAAACTTAAACAGACCCAGCAGAGAGAAAAGCATGGAGGGGGCACGTGAACAGCAAGGCATTCATCAAAGTGGAAGGTCAAACACAAGATATACCGTAATCTGTTCAAACTAGAGTTTTATTTTATGTTTTCATACTTCATCGTATTTCTAACTTGTGCTTTTCATAATTAAAAATTTAAACCCACTGCATAGGCATCTTCACTCAGTGGAATTCTATACAATATCTTTGAGATCTGTAATAATAAGGGGCACAGAGTATCCCATCAAGTTACAAGTAAAAAGTAATGTACCTTAGTTTTATTTGAGAAAATACAGCAGAACTAGGAGCCTTTTCTAGAATCTCAACCAAGGTTTGCAGCAATGTAAAAAGCATGTATAAAACAAGGGGAAAATTTACATAGACTACACCACCTATGTGCAACACAATCAAAAAGAAAATTCAAGTCATAATTCTCACCACTCCCATAATTCTCACTCATATTATGGATAAAATTCATTTCTGTGAAACTTCAGAAGTGACATATCAATGATTAGACAAATTTACAAGATGTGGTAATGATATATCATTCAACTATTGTATTTAAATTCATAGATTTTTTTCTTCCATTTACATTTTGCCAGAAAAAAAGTTGGCCATTTCTACTATACTGATGAAGTTTGTTTTGCAATTTTTACATATTTCAAAAATGTGTACAAAAGTATGTCTATGAAGCAGAGGTCATCATTTCTTTATTTGGCACTTGTATTGTTGTGTGCGTTTAGCACGTTCTGAGCACTGTTTTGCTTTTCAACCAGAGTCTTCTTTAGCTTTAGCTCATCTAACTTTCTCCACAACTCTTCACGTTCCAATTCCTTCTTTTTTTCTCTACAGAAAAAGTAAAAGGATTAGACATGGCTAAGTTCCACATGCAATGTGCATTATAATTACTTTGAGGAAACAGTATATGTTATTCTTGATTATTATAAATTCCTCTTGTAATTTTTTTTTTACAATTCTTTTACTCCTATAAAGGAGTCAGGATTTTCCCCATGCCAAATATCAAAGTTCAACTTATTGATTCTCAGTGGCAGAATGTGACATCTGTCTTTGAGAGATTATATCATCCTTTTGCTAGTTGACTGATACAGTTTGTCAGTCTTCTCTGAGCAATTAATTTCACTATTAATACTACAATTTTATTCACATTAATAAATTCAGTGCATACTTTTTTTTTTCAGGTGATGCATTTCAGAAACACAAACTAATAAAATGATTACCTTTGTCTTTCTGCTTTGTATGAGCTTGTAAGTTCATCAAATAGCTTGCCATTCATTTCCATCAATGTTTTCAGCACATTATACACCAGTGCTACAATGGTCCTAAAGCAAAAGGAAGGCACTGTAAATTATTGGATATAAGATTTGTTTACTGGTATCTGTTTTAAGTGTCTGACTTCCTCTTTCTGTTCCAGCCCTACTGCATTTAGACAGTATTGTAACTAAATTTTAAATGCAGATGTTTACTCTAGTCTCCTGTATGCATGAACGTGAGGATTTATTAAACATGCATATAGTACATTTGGCTCATTGCCTTGGTTTATAAAAAATTAAAACTGGAAGGCTTCACATAAACCAGCCATAGTAAATGATTTTTTAAATGTTATCCTCCAAAGCTGCAAAAGGCTGGAATCTGATTAAGGTAACTGTCACAGTGTTTTAATAGAATAAATTACATTAAAAAGTAAAATGGGTGATATAATACTAATGTCCATAAAGAGAAAGGTGGCAAAGATAAAATCCTCAAACTATAGACTAATGAGCCTCAAGTAAGGGAAAGAGTTTGACACAGCTGCTGATTACACTACAGAAAATGCTTCATGGAGAGGGGAAGTTATTTTGGGGTGATCTGTGCCACTCTCCCTGTTAGAAAATTGTTCTAATGTATAATCATGGCACCAAGACACCGGCTTCATGTCTGATTTTGTAGGTAAAAATGTAAAAGCAGAACTCAGAGCTATGTCTAGGCTGCTCATTTATTTTCTTGTATGTCTATCAATAATCCAGTTTACGATTATGCTCTTCTACCAAGACCAGGGAGAAAGATGCTATTCAGCTATATTAAGACCCATCTCCCTTAATTCCCCTCCGGAAAGTTTAAAGTAGGTACTACACTTGAAAGTTAACTAATAATCCTTCAAAAGAAATACTGGAACATTTTCAGGGTAGAACTGGATATACTTTAATTTATGAAACGTCCAAGATGCATATATTATTAACTCAAGCAGCAGGGTGATCTAGTTGTTATAACCCTTATCCTCCCCTTCTCACTTTCTCCACTAAAGTTCATCTTCCTTTGTCAAGTTACATCTCAATTTAAACTACAGCCAAATAATAGTCCCAGCCCTGAAGAGCTTAGAGTGCCATATATACACTTATGACACTGTATATACTGTTAAATAATTTCAAATATTTACACAAGTTTCAAAGGAAATAAAAAGGTATGACAGGTTTTCTGTTTTCACCACACTGTGTCCAGTTATAATTCACGGTTAAGAAGTGCAAACAGCAAGTCTATCATACTAAACAAACAGGAAGCCAAAATTCACCATACTTTGCTTGCTTACCCCTGACCCTCCCAAAGTACTAGGATGGAAACATGTCCCAAACCACAGCACCAGCAGATACTTTAAAGTCCAATTCAAATACTTAGTAGGTTTACTGACTGCATCCCCACACAAGTTTCCTCGCAGCATAAACTCTCTCCTTCAAGATCACATTAAAGCTGAGTAAGCTTTTATTTTCGGTTAGGGAAAAAAATCATTTTGAAGTATGTAATTCTGAAACATCTGTATCAGGGAAAGTTTTTCCTTTATATCTATTATCTGGATGGAAACAGAATAAATGAAACCTTTCTGAATTTACTAGTCCTGTAAGTATACTTTAGTTATTTGACTCATCTAGTTTATGGAATAACTTATCTCATGAGAAGAATTGGGGCAAAAGAGTGACTTCTCCTGTGACTGATGAAAAGGGGGATTCACTTCAGGTCTGAATTTTTGATGAGGTCCCAAGAAACACAAAGGACACAGAAATAGTCTTTTGTTTAACATTGATAGTTCAGTCTCACAGATTATGCGTTTGCAGCTAGATATACCGTCTTAATAAACGTGGAAAGATCCATTTCATAAACTCAAATATTGGATTTAACAGCCCATATAATCTGGTTCAAAGTTTATACTGTTCATTTGTGATGATTTAACAGGTCTGTCCGCACAGACTTTGTACTATGTGCGTGAACTAATCTTACACGTTCATCAACTCCTATTACACTGCACCCTTGACATACCAATGCAGAGGCCCCAAAAGTAAATTAGTTTTTTCTATAAAAGTAATTTCACCTCCATGTTAGAAAAGGGATCTATCAGCTTTGAGTAAAATGGATCCTCCAACTCACACACTATTAGAACTAGATATACTTTTGTTTCTCTTTAATACCAGAGTATGTTGGGTAGCACCAGTTTTTACTATCTGCTTGAATATTTGTAGGTGAAGACACATTCTCCTTGAAGCATGAATGGTTCAATCCATTAGCTCAGATTTAGTAATTCTGCTTTTCATATTAAATCAAACTACAGCTATAACTTTTCAAGTGAGTTCTTTGTAACTCCTGCATCTCTAGGAATAAAGTTTCTGCATTTAGAACTTATTTAACAGTTCTGTTGAGTAAGCAGGAGCCAGAACAGAATTCAGCTCATTCTCCCACAATTGTACAATTCTATAGTGGCCAACAGAATAAAGATATATACAACCAACCCTCTGAGCAGCTTCCTGTGTTTATTTGGTGTCAGTTGCTTATGCTATGATTAAAATAAGGTTTTACTAGTCAACACTGAGGGTAAGGGTATCATTTAAAGATGGCAGAATACTGAACAGCTCCAAATCTGTTATTTCTAAGTCATTTAACATGTAATCTTCTCATTCTTCCACTCCAAAACCTTTCACTAACTGAAAAAGAAACACTTTGGTATCTTAATACTTAGGTGCAATAGTGATTTTACTTTTTAAGTGAAACTTCACACTAGGCGTCATTGTTTAACATTTAGGAATTATAAATGACAGCATTCAACAGTCACTTCTCATATTTTTGTATGACCAGATGGTTGGCACCATTTTACATGCCAAAAAATACCCCCCCCCCCACTTAGAGTTTAAAATTTTCCTTTATTACCCTGGACAACAATAAACTTACTGATGTAGATGTTGCAAGAATACTGTGGCTCATGGTCCGTTCCTTGGATTTTGATGCATCAGGGTGTATCAGAAGTTTCCTAATGTCAGTTACTATTTGTCATTTACAAATGATACACAAAGTCAAACCTGTGTAACAAGCACACCACCATCTAATTTCCTTGGACATTTTTTCATTAAATTCCAACTTTTCACCATAAGGGTACAAACCAATGACAGATGTAGACGTGAATGAAATCCAATACCTTAATTCAAGTAATTAGAAAACATCTTACTCACTTCGGCTAAAGTAATTATTTGTATCTGTGGTAAGTGGTGCCTGGGAGAACATAAATTCCTCTAGACATTCTACCTCAAAGTATGCTTGTTAATATAAAGACCATTCTCTTAGCACTTCATCTCATTTTGAAATCAATGGGATTATTCACCTGTATCAAGTTAAGCATCTGCATAAGTGTCTGCATGATCACAGTCTAAGACAGGAACGTAAGTTAATACAATTTATTACTGATAATACTTTTAAAAAAACAACACCACCAGAATAAGCAATACATACGGATTCCAGTGTTCTTTGGAGATCTTGTATAAACTACCAAACATAATTGGTAGAATTTTGTCAATGTTCTCCTCAATCAGACTAAGAATGTACTCATTATTCCAGAAATACAAAGCCCTTTCCGCAACCTGAAATACACATTTCAGAATCAGAACCACAAAACATGATAGTACTAATTAATGTAGAAGTCAAATGTGCAACACTATTGAAAATGCTATTTAATACCTGAAAATGGGAACTTGACACACACTTGGATATCTGCTTAAATAGAGGTTCTTCTATTTTTTTGAACTGGGTTGGTTCTATTACATCTAAGATTTCTTCAATTTCACCTAAAAACATCACCTATTTTAAAAAGAAAAGTTTTTATTATATACATACACACACACGCGCACACCATTGAGAAGGTATATAGAAAGTTTATATCTATCACATAGCTAGACTGATGATACCAACTGAATAATCAGTAAAATAGGGTACACACCGACAAGTATGCTCCAAGAAACATGTGCAAGTTTCCTTATTGTAATTTACTATTTTTCTTCTTAATTTTGTAAGAGGACTTATTGGTTTCAGTTACCAGAATATAACCATCATCTTTTACTGCCTCTTCTTCATGGTTGCTTTTAAAGTTTTTAAAAAGTCATTTGATTTTAAATGATGCTTTGAAGAAAGCCAGAAAAAAAATTATTTCTTCAGCTTTGGCTGCAGAGACTCATTCTTCTCCACTCTGGATTCTTTTTACAAATGCTTCATTTCAGTTTTAAAATGCGAGGAGTATAACAGTATGTAGGTGTAACAGAAAATTCAAGAAAACTGACGCATACAAGAATCTTAAAGGACACTGCTTTCATATAGAATTAGAAGGTTTCTTTGACAACTGAAGCCACCAAGCTCCCAACTATCTTAATTTTAATGACACGGGACAAAGCCAATCAGAAAAACAGATTTCACAAGACAATTTTAAAAGTACATTTTAAGAATGAGATATATTGTACCTACACATGAAATTACAATGTATAATTTTTTTGTAATAAAGTAATGAACGTTTTATTTAATGCTTTAGCCAGTGACAAAGACCTGGTCAAACTTTCAAAGTGTTCAAAGTCAGCACTCACTGGCGATGGACTGCACTCACTGTAACTACTAAAATGCTTTTTAAAAAAAGCTTTAAATGTTTCTTTCGAAAAATTATACTAATGCCTACCAAAGAACAGGACTTAACTAGAACATTCCTCTCAATGATAATACATTATCCTAGGAATCTTTAGTGACGAACATATACGAGCATTTACTATTAGCAGTGCTGTCAGATTTAAAATAAAGTAGTAAGTTTGCACAATTTGTACAGAGGACTTCAGTGCCCTAAGAAATCATCAAGAACCACAGAAAACCCTGCGAGATCCTACAGACAGCACCACAGCTGCAAAACACCTCTGAGCCTGCAGCACTTTTTTTTAAAATCAGTTATAAGAGAATAATTCATTAAAACATAACAAGACCAACCTCTTTCTGACTGCAAGTTTTTGGCCAAAATTTGAGCAATCCTCTGATAACCTGTTATAAGAATAAAATTAAAAAATTAAAATCAGAACAAGTTTCCAGTATGTATTCAACTAGATTTTTAATATTAACATTAAGATATTAGAATCATATTAATATTATACTACTTATCCAAAACTGTAGTTCAAAGGAGATTGAACCATTTTGGGTCATCTGACATGGGTTTTGCCTTGTGTTCAGAATACCTCAACAACTTTACTCTCAAATTT